TTTAATTTTAATATGGTCAGACATGGCAGCAGCATAATTTTGAGTGAATGTGATGTCACCAACATCTGTAACTTTGCTTTTGGAGTTCGTGGCATCACACAATTTGACGCTATTGTTTTGAAATTTATTAGCTTTTGTACTGTTAAAATGTCTTAGATACATTTAGAGATAAGTTTACTGAACGTGTATTTTGTAGAGGCCCAGTTGTGCTTTCTCTTTGTAACTGCAGTTTTCTTAAATTTTAATGAAAAGACACAATTCTGTTATAGATTGTTTTGATTTTGAGACAGAATAGCAATTTTCAAAGGAAGATTTAGAGAAAGGGATACAGAAAGTTTAAGCTGGTCTGCAGTATACTTTTTTTTTTACTAAGTCCAGAATATGAGGACCACTTGGCCATTTGGACAGAGCTTTCTAAATGTCTTTATAGCCGATCATTTTCACGTGTCACAAAGCACGTGTGGATGGGTAACAAAATCCAGTTCACATATAGAAATAAAATGGTGCATAGTTTTACTTTAAAGGTTAGCTATTTTGAAAAAGACAACACTGTAACTACAACTCTGTCAACAACAGCAGGGAACACAATGCAGAGAGTGCATGCAACCTTTGTAGCACTGTGAAGGAAGCCAGGCAACTGAGTACTGTGATTTGCAAAGTTTAAATCCTGTACAAGTTACAGGCCAACTGCTGACTTTGTAATTAGGGGAGCAAATGTTTTCCGAAGTCGGGCATCTCGCCATGAAACAGATTCATCTCTGAGGAGAAGTGAAAACTGATTAACCTGCACGGAGGACTCTGGCCCTGCTTGTAAATGGAGACATACACGCTTAGTGGGATTTAAAAAAAATACTCGGGTATAGGCATTTCTGCAGTGACATTATTAAGGGCGTCATTTCTCTCATTTGGTTTTGTCCTCAGGGGAGACCAAACAGCTCCCAGAGGAGGGAAAAAAGTCCAAGGTTATTTATTCATTTTGGTGAAAGGCAGAGGGCTGGCTGGGGGTGGGGTGGAGAAGGAATCTGCTGTGAATTCTCCAGGGGGGAAACACTGCTACCCTAATTTGACAGTAGTAGTTTTAAGGGCTGAGAGAGCTGGGTATGATTTTGCAATTCCCAGCAAGTTCAGGCAATTTCAGTAGTTGTTGGCTGTTTATGTATGTATTTTTGAGTGGATTTTGGTGTTGTTCTTTGTGGATATTAGTTTGTGTTTTCCAGGCTACAGATGTATGAGTTTTGTGTGTGTGGTTAATGCGAAGATAGTTCCCTAGGTAGCTGGCAGTGGATACTTGCAGTTTTGCAGGCCTGTTTTCTGGGGTCAGGAGGTCATCTGTCGCTTTTGTACTTAGTTTTTAAATATTGATTTTGGTGATGCAGTCAGGGTGTGTGCAATTAAGCCTCCCTGCAAATCACATGCAAGAGCTAAAAAATAAAAGGGGCATTGAATATATTGAAAACTACAGGGTTTTTTTTGTTTTTTTTTTTGCTCTAAGAAAACTTGTATGAAATTGGCCAGGCCTTGCAACCTGTCCCTGCAGTTTCTTTGAAAAGGTGAAAGAAAAGCAGTATTAGGAGATAGCTGAGATGTCACACTCCTCTCTGGAAGTCAGTGAAAGACTCAAACTGGGTAACAATGTTTATTCTTAAATACACAATTGGGTTTTGAAAAATTCAGTCACCTAAGGCGCTGCATTCTTTTTAGAAATTACAAAAAATCAAACTTTTCTGTCAGAAAGGAAACTTTCCCCCTTCTGAGGTGCCAGGGAATAGGTGATGGAGGGGAGCTCGTTAGGGGACTAGCAGATCAGATTTTGCAGTTGCTGCGGGAGCTATTCACTTCTTCCAGCTCCTCAGCCAGGTCTGGGGTGAACGTAAGTGGCCTGTCACACCACTGCTTTACCCCCTTCCATCTGATAGGAGGCAGAGAGAGTTTAGAAGAGCTAAGTACTGACACCTGAGTGCTTGGCCCATTTGGACAGTGTCAGAAACTTGTCAGATACTGGGAACCCACTTTTAGTACCATAGCACATGCATGCTAGGAGGAAGGGACGGTGAATAAAATGCAGGTTTGTTCCCAGTTCCTCTTCTCTACTTTTTGGAATTCAAAGGACTGTTATTTTCAAATCAAAGGTGGCTGACAAGAATTGAGAGAAAGAGTAGCCAGATGTTCCATGGATCCAAAGTCACCGATCCCTCAGTTACAGAAGATTAGAGTTCTTCCTGGAAGACCTACCCTGACCTTGGCTTTGGCTGGACAGGAAGCAGTGCTGGGGCGGGTTCAGCCTCATTGACTGGCTCAAAGGCCTAGCAGTCGCAGCCACACATCCTGAGCACCCTCAGCGCTCCCTTCCAGGGCGTCTCTGCTCACTCTTCACTCCTGTTTGCTTTTCCGTGTCTCACCACTACTCCTTCATTTTCCTCTTTCCTTGGAAACAAATGAAAACCCCAAGTCCACCAAGTATCCTCCATGGTACAGAGTGTACCCAGTCCTAAGCACTGTTCAGCCCGGGGCACCTCCCAGAGGGGTGCTCCGCGGGCGTGGGCCCGGGAGCCCCAGGGTCTTCCGTCTCTGGGGTCTTACCTGGATCTGGCGCTGCTTCTTGGCTCATGATGTTGCTTGCGGCTTTTGTGAATTCTTCTGTGTAATGGTTGTCAGTTTCTCTTTTTTTTCTCTTTTTTAAGCTTGTGAGAAACTTTTGGATGCAACCTAGTTTTGTTGGCAAAAGGAAATGGTTTCTGTAGGGAAGGGAAAGTGATGGGGAGGAGGGGAGCAACGCCTGGAGACACTTGCCCAGGGCTTCTCAGCGACGCGCACTGGGCCTCTTTTGCCTAGGGACGAGGCTGGTTCTGGGCTTGGCTGCAAGGAGCGCTTTCCGGGAGCCAGGATTTCACTGGGGGTGGTGTAATGAGGAGGGGAGGAGGGAGAGACAGGGGTTGGAGTTTTAAAGAGACCCCCGAGGGGTGGCTTCTCTGAGTCCAGGCGTTTAGAGGTGTGCTCAAGGACCGGGTGGCTTCTCTGAGTCCAGGCATTCAGAAGTGTGTTCAAGGACCGGGGTTCGTTCGGCTAAGGGGACCGTCTTTTATGGTGAATTAACTCCAGTTAAATTGAATATTTGTTCAGAGGGAAAGTTGGGTAGTTAGAGCAGTGTCGTCGTGCAGCGTCCCGCCCCTCCGGCAGACCCCGGGTGAGAGGGACTCGGCCTCTGGGTCCTCAGGGCGCTAATCTAAAACGAGGCTGCCCAGGTTTAGGAAAAGGAATGAGTATGCAGCGGACGAAGTCAAGTGTCGTTTCGCGTCTTTCACCTCTGAAGACTGCCAACTTGATGGGTGCCGGCACGGAGCCGGGCCGGCGAGGGTTAACTGGGGTCTGCGCCGACCCTACCTGTCCCGGCCCCGCCCCCGCCCGCGCGCCTCATTAGGGGCCTCCGGGGGAAGGCGGGCTGCGGCCGCGCGCCTAATGAGGACAGGACTGGTTTAAACAGTGACCATTTCACGGTTGACTTGAACCTGCCGCCCTTCCTGGGCGTCGCTGCGAATGCCCCACGTGGGCGGCTCCCACGCGGCAGGAGCCTCTGAGCCTCAGCGCGGCGCGGAGCGAGTGCTGGCCGGAGTGGGGGCCGCGCCCGGCCCGACGGCCGCCTCCGCGGGGCCCGGCGGGCGCTCGGCCTCACTTTCCCTTTCTCCATTGTCTGGCGGCCTGGATTCCGCCACTCCCACCCACCCGGCGGGGAGCCGGAGCCGGGGCCGGGGCGGCGGAGAGGGCGCGGGGCGCGCAGCCTCTCCCCCCGAGTCTGCGCTCTTTCGGGGCCGCCCGCGGGAGGGGCCGCGGCCCACTATTCGCGCCCAACCGGCCCGGCCCGCGCGGTCTCCCCGCTCCGCCTTCGCCCGCTCCCGGGCGGGTCGCTCCCAGCCGCGGCGGCGAGGGAATTTTCCACTCCTTCCCGCCGGCCCGGGCGCCGCTTTCCCACTGCGCGGAAAAGTCCGCAGCGGACTCGGAGACCCCGCTCTCCGGGGCGGGGGTGTGTGTGCGCGTGGTGCGAGAAGGGTGGGGGAGAGAAGAGCTATTTTGGAGGAGGAAAAAAAAAAGTCATGTTACTGTTGCACCGGCCAGATACCTTTAACAAACCAGGGGGGAGGAGAGAGGCCGGGGGAAGACGGAGGGGGAGGGGAGCGGGGGAGGAGGAGGGAGAGAGCAGAGAGGCAGAGAGGGAGAGAGGGAGGGTAGGGAGAGGGAGAGAGAGGGGGAGGGAGGAGGAAGAAGGCGGGGGCGGGGTGTGGAGAGGCTGGTGCAAAAGGAATGCGCGCTTGCAGGAGGAGGAGTAAAGCGGTGATTGTGTAATTAAATAATAAAACAATCCTTAAGTCTGATTTGGAGAGAGCTCGAGCGGGGTCCGGAGGGTGGAACCGGTGAATTTTTCAACTTCCAAGTTTTGCAACGAAAGAAAGCGAAGAAGGGAGGGAAAAAAAAGCGGCGAGCCGCGAGCGGAGCGGGCGCCGAGCGCAGCGCGGAATCCTCGGGGAGCCTCGCTCCGGGCGGGCGGCGGCGGCGCGAGGCCGGGCCGCACGGGGACGCCGGGCCATTGGGCCCTCCCGCCGG